GGCTCCGGCCCCGCCGGCTGGAGCGGGGTGAGCTCCAGCCCGGGCTCCAGCCCGGTCAGGCTTTCATCCACACCCGACACCGGGACCAGGGCGGACCCTCCGCCTCCAGCACTGGCTCTTCACCCCCGGCACCGGCACCGACCCTCCTCTCCCGGCACCGGTATCAGTCCGGGGATCCCGGCACCGGGACCGGCCGGCCTCCTTAAGCGCCGGCACCGTCTCTTCTTCCCCGGCACAGGGTCCGGTCCTTCCCCGGCACCGGGACTGACCCTCCTCCTCTCCCCCCCTTTCCCTGGCACCGGCACCGCTTCTCCCCCGGCACTGGGACCAGCCCGTCTCCCCGGCGGCATCGGGACTTCTCGTCCGTCTCCAGCACCAGGACCGACCCTTCCCCGGCTCACCGGGACCTCCCGCCTGGCCCAGGTACCGGCGCTGCGGGAGCCGGGGACCCGCGGGGAGGGGGCCGGGGCAGCCCCCCCGGCAGCGCTGCCCCGGGTGGGTGATGGAGGTAGGGCAGCTCTTGGGACAAACTGGGGGCTCCCCGCACCACGCACATGCCAGGGTCTCAGCGGATGGGGTGCGGGCACAGGCTCGGCGGGGACCACCCGTCCCACCACCCCAGGAGCGCAGAGTCAGGGGTCACCCGTGGGGACCTCCCCACGGAGGCCAGCACGGGGAGGTGATGCGGGGTCTGAGCTGTGTCCCTTCGTGGGGTGCATGGGGCTCCTGGAGAAGGAGGCAGCAGCCCGGCATGTGGCAAGGTAAGGGCTTTGAAGGTGAACTGCAGGCAGCCAGCTCCTTGGCAGGCTCCTGGACAGGATGAGCTGCGTGCAGCTTCCTTTTCCTTCCAAAAAAACAGGCACCACAAGTCTCTTCTTCCCTAGTTTTATCTGAGGACCCTTGGATGAGTCCTCATCCAGTGGGCTCTCATGGAAATTGCACCTTCCTTGGTGCAAGAGCAAAAATGCCAGTGCCCTTCGGACAGAAGCCGGGGACTGTCCGGAGGAGCCGGCCCTGCTGCCAGAGCCCTGCAGCCTGCAGCAAAGCGCTTGGACAGGTCCTTGCTCCCTAATGCCAACAGACGTGTCCATCAGCCAGGAGCTCACCCCAGGGCTGTGCCCAGCATGGAGACCCTCGCGTGGGGCCAGCACTGGCGGTGCTCCTGCCCTCTGGATGCTGCCAGTTTGAATTAGGTCAGGCTTTCATCTCCGGCATGCTGAGCTCCCCTCTCCAGCCCCAGGGACTGATGATTCGTGGCAGGCGCCCGGGCAGGGGGAGGAAGGGGCTCTCGCTGCAGTGCCGTGGGGCAGCAGGGAGCTGAGGGTGCGCCGTGTCACCACATGGAGAACGGGTGACATGCTGTTTTGAAAGCACCTTCCTTACGATCCACCAAGATCAGACGAGCAGGTTGTCAGGAAAGGCTCTAAATAGACTCCAGGGATGTGTACACCTTTGGGGTGCAGATTTTCAGCCAGTGGAAGGAGCCACAGTGGCCAGCAGGACCCCGTGTCTCAGCAGCATCATCCACCCAGGTGTCTGCTGCTAACCAGAAAGCCTTTTCAGAAGGCGAAGCTGTGCCTGTGCTAGTGAAAGAGATGGGCAAACCAGCCAGGTCCTTCCCCAGGGCTGTGTCCTGGTGAAATCAGGGCTGAGACCTCTCCTGTGAGCTGCAAGGGCCATGCTACGAGGGATGCAAAGGTCTTGGGATGGCCCAGGCTCCTTTTGCTCTCTGATGGCTGCCCTGAGTTAGTAGCTGCTTTCGGCATCAGCAGCAATCTCTGGGCAGGGAGGTGTGGGAGATGGGCAGAGGACGGGGACACCTGAGACACAGGGGCAAAGCAAAGTCCATAGCGGTGGAAAGGCTGAGCTCAACCCTGGGACAGCACAGGGTGGCAGGGAGGCTTTGGGAGTGGGTCACTGGAGGACCAGACGGGGTGCTGGGGCTGGGTGCTGAGGCTGGCTGGCTCTGAGCATCCCAGCAGGCACAGCCACCCTGGAGCCGTTCCTGCAGCGCTGAAACCTGCCCAGCTCCTCACTCCCTCAGCTGCATGAAATCCGCTCCAGTATCCACCAGTAAACCCCCTGAGAAGGAGCAGTGTGATGTGGAAGTAGGAGCAGAAGACAGAGCTGGGATCCCATGCTGCCCTACCCATTGCCCGAGGTTATGTCTTGAGGTTGCAGTGAGACTTTCTTCAAAGCCCTATGCTCCTTAATCACAGGACAATGCAGAGACCTCTCCAGTTACAGTGCTAATAACCACAGCAATTTGGTTTCTGTAGCGGTATATTGTGGAGATGATTAGATGAGGGATTTCCAGCTCGTTTGGCTGGGCGATGAAAGCCTCCTCTGCGCCCAGGCAGAGCTGTGCCACCGTCCCTGCCAGCAGTGCCAGCCTTCCGCCCCCACCACCGGCACCTCTAATTAACGGGAGAGGGCTGCTGGAAATTAATTTTTCAATTAACTCTCCTTGATTTCACAACAAAAGCAAACACCAGTCAGGCAGTGCCCACCCGGGAGCGAGCGGCTCAGGGTACTGATGGGGCAGACCCTGGCATCGGGAAACTCTCTTTCCGAGTGGTTTGTAGGTATTGCACCCTGGGATGAGCTAGCACCGGGGTGCACCACACCACGGGGTGCACCGTGCTGTGCCGTGCCGTGCCGTGCTGTGGAGGCTCTTGCTGCCTTGAAGACACCAGCCCAGTTCAGGCTGCAGCTTGTCTCTGTGTCAGGTCAAGTCCAAGCCCTGAATTTGAAACAGAGTTGAGAGCAAGGAGCAGGCATTCAGAGCCTGGGTCCAGCAGAGAAGCTTGCTGATGTTTATGGCTTCAGTGTTTTCAGGAGCGGCAAGGGGGCTTGGCAGCCATTTGGGATCTTGTGTCCCTGCCCAGCTGGGGCACTCGCAGCTCTCAAGGTTCTGCAGAGGTGTGACCTTCCAGGGCCGCCTGTCCCAAGCACCAAGTCTGAAGCCGCTGCCATCCCCATCCATCCATCACCCAGCTGTGCCCACCCAGCTACCCCCAGCATTTGATGAAAATGCTTGCAAGGACCTTCATATTTGATTTATCCTATAAAGAGCAAAGAGAATCCCCCATCCTGTGCATCCCTGTGGTCACAGGCTGGGGATTAGCTTTGGGCTGGAAGGTGGGTTAGCACTGATACTGAGGAGCCAGCTCCAGGGGTACCTCTGGACTCTATTTACTCTCTGAACCCTGAGCCAGCAGCAAAGCCTTCACCGGGGCTGCTGCATGTGGACCCTCCATCTCAGGGTGCTGGTGGTCCAGCCGTGGCACCCAGCAGGGTCCATCCCCAGTGCTCCCCACCCTCCCGGCCACCCACACTCCCCAGAGGTGGCTGCATTTCAGCAGTGTATCTATAGCCCCCGCTGTACTTGATGTCCCTGCCAGATGAAAACTCCCATACAAACCCAGGCTATTATTATCTCCGTCTTCCACTGTGCTAATGGTCTCTCAGGAAACAGTCGTCTTTTTTTTTTTTTTTTTTTTTTTTTTTTTTTAGCTTTTAAAACCCACGAATACCAGAGTGGTGGTAACGAAAAGCCAGGCACAGTGAAGTGGAGCTTCAGGCCCTCACCAAGCGCAGAGGAGCCGGCATCCCCCTAACCTGGGGGGGACAGGCAGCAGCAGCTGGGTAGGACCAGCTTAGGCCCAGCCCCAAGGCTTTCTGGTAGGCACGGCTGAGGGCTGGGGAGGGCAACAGGCAGCACTGGGGGATACTGGGGGATGGTGTGGCATGGGGGCCACCAGGAAACCTGCGTGATGAGGGGCAAGTGGGGGTCCTGGCTGCCCCCCACCTGCCATGCTTGGGCAGGAGGTGTACAGGGCCCCGCAGTGTCGGGGAAGGGGTCCCTTCTAAGGCCCAGCTTTGCCACTCATTTTCCTCTGCTCGCTCCCTGTTTTGGTGTTTTGGTGCTTTGTGCGGTGCCCTGGACTGCTCCGTCTGCCGGGGGGTGCCAATGGTGCTGCCAGTGCCAGCAGCCCTGGCCACAGGCTGGATGGCACCATCCCCACAGCCAGGGTTTCTCCCAGGTGCTGGGTATCACTGGGGTGATCACCCACAGATTATTTGGGGTTAACAAGTGGCTCCTGTAAATCGGAAGCAAAGCAAAAGCCACAAAGCGTGAGATTATATAAAAGGTGCTGGAGGCAGCTGCGGCACAGCCTGTAATTAATTCGTGGCAGTGAAGTGCTTTGAAGATCCAGGGTGATGCAGATGCCGGTGTAAGGCAGCCCGAGGGGCAGCACCCACTGGTGGCAGGGTCCTGCTCAGCCCCAGCTCCCACGGGACAGTATCCCCGCTCCTGCCACAGGGATGCTGCGAGAGGAAGGGGGCAGTGGTGGAGCTCGAGCACCCCATAAACCTGCTGGGTGCTGGGCTCAGCCCCACAACAGCCCTGCAGAGCCCATCCTGCAGCCTCCATCCTCCCTCCCAAAAATCGGGAGCAGGGCCAGCCCCATTGCTTTGGCAGGAGTGCGGCAATGGAGGGATCACAGTGGCTGTTGGGGATGGGACGATACTTTGCTATGGCCAGGAACACCCTCAGGGCTATGGGAACTTTATATGTTAGGAAAACTTTTGTACCCCTAGAGTAAAGACAGAGATGACTTCCAGAGCATCCTCATGCTGAACTGGGGTCACAGCTTGGGCTTGTTTCTTTTCAGGTTTATGCAATGCATTAAGCAAGGCCCAAACCACTGTCAGTTAAGTGAGAAACATTTAGACGAGTCAGAGAGTCCTGCCCGCTGTCATTGCATCCCTCCTCACAGCCCCTGCACTTGCACTGGGACCAATGTAATGTCCTGATGTGGGAAAATCCCCCTTGTTTTGCTGCAGACCTGGCTCACGGCTCCGGGTTTTTGGAGGCCCCGTTGCTAATTGCCTGGCTGAGGTTTATCCTCGTTATACACGCAGTTCCCCGCGTGCTATCATTGAGCTCATCTTACCGTGGTGCCTTCTCTGTCCCATCCCTGCCAGGAAGCACAGGGAGAGCCACAAGCCTCCTGTCCATTGGCAGCCCTGTGGCCCCAAGGGCATCCCGAAATAGGGGTCACCCAGCCCGTGGTGATAAGGTCCCCAGGGACACCCCACTCCTGCTCGGCAGCTCGTGGTGATGCTGATGGGGAAGGCAGGACCGGGGCAGGGACATGCTGCGCCTCGAGGTGGCACAAAGCTGAGCTGCTTCCTCCCGTTCCCTCGGCAGCACCGTGCCATCAGCAATGCGAGCGATGGCAGACCAGGCTGCGGCGGCAGCAGATGCCTCTCCAACCCTGGCACCATCCCCGGGCTCACCTCGGCGCGGGGACACCGATGGGCTAACGCCCCATCCCACCAGCACCAGGGAGGATGGCGGTGGTCAGGACAGCTGTGGGCCTGTTTTTGCCATGGACAGTGACATGAAGCCTCCCTCCTCACCCCAGCCCGGGGGGATGCTCCTGGCTGACCTCCCACGGGCCCCCCAGCCCCGGCTGAGCCCAGCCAAGTCCCGCACAGCCCCGTCCTCCCCCAGCATCTCCCCATCAGAGAACCGCGCCGCCCTGCTCCGGCTGCGGGAGGCCAGGCTGGAGGACACCAAGAGGCGGCTGTCGGACGCTGTGCAGGAGCCCCTCAGCCGGCTCAGCCGGCTCATGGCCGAGGAGAGCAGCCCCACGCCCCGGGGAAAGACAAGTGCCGGGGGGCAGGAGGTGGGGGGCCACAGGGCTGGGGGACGCCGGGCACAGGACTGGAGCCCCTGGGAGCCCACCCTGAACTGCCGCTACGAGATCTGCTCCTATGGGGACGTGATCCAGGTTGTGGAGGTGGCGCAGCGGGATGCCGAACCCCAGCTGCCACCCCCCGAGGAGCCACCATCGGCACGACCAGGGGCCATGGTGCCAGGCAGAGCCCTCGCCTCCATCGCCCTCCTTGCCTACGGCTAATTCGTCCTGCCCCCGCCCCCCCCCCCCGCCGGCCCCCGCCCGGGGCCCCCCCTTTGGGGAAAGGACCCAGTTACTAACAAATTGGTAGGACCGATTTATTTACCTTCTAAATAAATTTAAAAAAAAAAAAAAAAAGCTGCTTTATTTTTGTTTTCCTTACTTTTTTTTGCTGCTTCGTTTTCCCAGAGCCCCTCCTCCGCCCTGCCACTGCCACCCTACGCTGCTGGCCTCTGCCTGGGGCTCATCTGTGGGCTGGTGCTGGGCTTCCTCGCCGTCCTCCTCCTCGTGCCGAAGCCTCCACCGGCAGCACGGGGACCACGGGGCCGTCTGCACCCTGAGCTGCTCCCAGGGGAGCCACGGGAAACCCACCGCCTCCAGGTAGGAGACGGGTGGTCCAGGATGGGGTGCTGGGTGGCAGCTGAAGGGGAGCCCAGGGTTCGAGGTGCAGCACTGAGGGGGTGCAGGCTGCTGTCCCATACAGCACAGGGGGAAGCAGCCGGCTCCCTCTCCTCCCACCCAGGGCTGGATGAACCAGCTGCACATCTACGACCCCGAGATTTTCCACCCCTCGCTCACGCACTCGGTGCTTGCCACACTGGATGGGGCCACCCTCAAGCTCTCCTACCCCAAGAGCAACATCCCACGCCGAGCCACCTTTGAGGAGGAAATCCTTGATGCCACCTTCATCAGCCACTGCTGCTATGACCTGACCAATGCCAAGGTGAGCCTGGCAGTGCCAAGGACCCTCCTGAGGGGAACCCCAACACCCCACGCCCTGGCCCAGCCTCACCACCACTCTCGGTGTTGCAGGTGTTCCTCTGCCCCCCCAGCCTGGCCCGAAAGCGGACGTGGAACCAGAAATACCCCATCTGCGTCCTCCTCCCTGACCCGGTGGAGGTGGAGTGCAGGAGCAGCGAGGAGCACAACACAGAGCTGCAGAGGGATGAAGGGACAAAGAAGGCGCCGGTGCCAGGGCAGGACATCCCGGGGGACTGCAGGGAGAGGTGCCTGTACCTCTTCGGGCGGACGGGGAGGGAGAAGGAGGAGTGGTACCAGCACCTCGTGCGAGCCTCCCACAGGACACCCTGCAGCAGCCACGGTGAAGCCAGGGCAGGTGAGAAGCAGCCATCATGGCCTCTGCTCCATGCCGGAACTGATCCGGGGTTGGAGCTGCACGTGTGCCAGGAGGACAAGCCCTTGGTAGGCAGCAGTGAGCATGGGGGGACATGAAGGAGCCCAGAGTATAGCCAAGAGCATTTGCAGCAGCAGAGAGAGCCTGGAGGATCCCCCTCACCAGCACAGAGTGGGTGGCATGTCACTGGCATCGCGGACAGGCAGCACATCACCGCATGTGCATTGTGGCACATCACCACGCGTGCATCACAGCCAGGTGGCCTGTCACTTCTTATGCTATCCTGACCCGCTCATGTCCCCACGTCCCCAGGCGTGGGACCAGCTCTGCAGAGCAGTGGCAGCAGCAGCGGGGGGAGTGCCGAGGACATCCCCTCTGCTGTCCCACCCAAGGACCTGGCAGGAAGCGTCCGACAGAAGATTTTCCTGGATTACAGCACCTACATGGCCCGATTTGTACCAGCGCAGGTGGGGGGCAGCCCAGACCAGAGCCCCTCTCACGGAGCACTGGGCAGGCCCCCGCCCACAAAGGTGAGTGGGACAAATCCAGCACTGGGAGCGGGACATGAATGCTGAGCAGAGGCTGATGGACCCTGCATGCTGCCTCTTCCAGTCCTGTGGTTTCTCTCTTCCTTCCCAGCGCCATGGTTTGAGCAGCAAAGCCATGGTGCAGGGGAGCGCCCAGCCAGCGGGTCCCACCACTCATGGGGCCACCTCACTCCAGGGGCTCGTGGCTTCTGTCCCTCCACAGCTTGGCGAGGACACGGCCGGGCGCAGCGAGGCGTGCATGGCCTGGATGAACGCGCTGGTGGGGCGCATCTTCTGGGACTTCCTCCGGGAGCGATACTGGGCTGAGCAGGTGTCCAACAAGATCCAGAAGAAGTTGAGCAAGATCAAGGTGAGAAGCAGGAGCATCACAGCACCTATGGGAGCCCCAATCCTGTTCCCGAGGCCCCACAGCGGGTTCCAGGCTGCAGTGACCATCCCCATGTGGTTTCCCTCCATCAGCTCCCATATTTCATGAATGAGCTGACGCTGACGGAGCTGGACATGGGCACATCCATCCCCTCCGTCCTCAGCGCCTCCAACCCTACTGTCAATGACCGAGGTAAGAGCCCCGCAGAGCAGCAGGGACCCCAGGGCTGGCTCCACGGCAGTTGTTATTGAGGTGCCAGCCCGGTCCCTGAAGCAGGGAGGTTTCAGCAGGCACACGAGCAGCCCTTGGCCCCTGCAGTGCTGACAGGGGCTCACCCCGTCCCTCTCTCTGGCAGGGCTCTGGGTGGACATGGAGGTCACCTACAGCGGCTCGTTGCAGATGACGCTTGAGACAAAGATGAACCTCTGCAAGCTGGGGAAGGAGAGCGCTGCAGAGGAGAGCGGTCCGGGAGAGGCAGGTGGAGAGGGGTAAGGAGACTGTGCATGGCTGGGTTTCATCCTCCTCCTCCTCCTCCTCTTGCCCAGTGAGGTGAGAGGGTGCTGGCCCCAGGGCACCCCCATGATGCTCCTCGGGGCCCGCAGGACCAGGCCACGGCTGATCCTGCTGGCAGACAGCGATGCGGAGTCATCCAGTGCCGGCTCGTCCGATGAGGAAGACATCGCTGCTGCAGAGCCCGCGGGAGCCCTGGGGGAGCGAGTCCCGCCGCCTGGCACTGAGGGGTAAGGGGCTATTTGGGGTCTGCGCCATGGGGTGTATGGGGAGATGCTGGGGGAGGCACGGTGCTATGTCAGCACAGGGGCTTGGGGCCGGTTTCCCCAGAAAGGTGCACACAGGCACCCCGGCACATCATGGCAGCCCTTCATAGGGGCCTCCTGTCCCTACGGGATGCTCTGGCAGACGGCTGGGGGATGCCGAAAACCAGCATGGCTCTGGGTCTCATCCTGCTGCTGAGCTGTGGCTCCACTCGCTTTAGCCACATCAGCGGCAACAGCACGAGCCGGAAGATCTTGCGCTTTGTGGATAAGATCGCCAAGTCCAAGTACTTCCAGAAGGCCACTGAAAATGAGTTCATCAAAAAGAAAATCGAGGAGGTTTCCAACACACCGCTGCTGCTGACGGTGGAGGTGCAGGAGCTGGCAGGCACCTTGGCTGTGAACATCCCCCCACCACCAACGGACCGTGTCTGGTACCAGCTCTCCTTCCTCCCATGCGGGGACACACGTGCATCCTCCTTCCAGCTCCCCTTGCTCCCTGCAGCTTGGCCAAGGAGCCAGCTCTGGGGCTTTGGGTTCATCGGGGGCACCAGCAAGCCAGGGCCGTTCTCCCAAAGGGACTCACAGACCTCAGACTCATTTCTCCTGGTCTCCACCCAGGCCAAGACAGGATCTGGGAACCCAGATCCTGCTGCAACCCAGCCACCTCCTCCCAGGAGGCAGGTCCCTAAAACCCAGCAGTGGGGCCACATGAGCTGTGCCACGTATTCCAGACGTGATGCTTTCTGCCTCTTTCCTTTTCCCTCGCAGGTACAGCTTCCGAGTCCCACCCCAGCTGGAGCTGAAGGTGCGCCCAAAGCTGGGCGAGCGGGAGGTGACATTCCTCCATGTCACCGAGTGGATCGAGAAGAAGCTGCAGCACGAATTTCAGGTGCCTGGTCTGTTAAAGGGCTCAGCAAACCCTGCTGAAGCATGGGCATTGCTGTGATCAGGGATAACCAGACCTCAGTTTGGGCCAGGGATATCTCTACAAAAAGCCAACATCTGGTCTGGTCTGGCCAGCTTTGGACAGTCAAGAAACACAACCTAAGCAACCAGCTCCGAGGGCTGGGGCTCTGAGCACTAGAGTGCCTGAGGAAAAGCGGTTTCCTCTCAGTATGTGCAGCCTTGCCCCAAGCAGGGGGGATTAGGAGTGCCAGCAAGTTTGGGAGATTTACCATCACAAGGTCAGCCATCTCCCATCACAAAGTACCTGCTGGTTTGTTTTCAGCCTCTCACGTTTGAGACCTCTGGTCAAAGAGCAGAAATGTCCCCACAGATATTTAGGTACCCAAATCCCCCCAAAGAGCTGCCCATTTGAATGGCTTCAAAGTGCTGGTCCCTCCCCTCTGCCATGACCACCCTTGAAGCCATACATACAGGTAAGCAGGGCAAAGAAAAACTGCTCCTGCTTGTCCCCATCCTGAGATATCCAGAGCTGGTAATCCTCTAGAGCCAGGCACAGTCAGCTGCTGACAAGGGGATGGGAGCCCAGGGTCTTCTGTTCACAGCCCTGGTCTCTGACCCAAGTGTGGCTCCTTCCAAGGCCACTTCCCGGCAGATGTGTCACCGATCAGGTAGTGGCATTCAAAATCACTTACTTGTTATTCTGGATTCCTCTTTTCAGAAAATTTTGGTGATGCCAAACATGGACGATCTCGTCCTTCCCATCATGCGCTCTGGCCTGGATCCTCAGCCACCCACTGCGGGGCTGCCCAGGGACCTACCAGCCAAGGGAGAGAAGAGGCTCTGAAGCGCAGCCCCACAGGCAGGGCAGAGACACTGCGCAGAGCTCAGGGACCTCGCTGGGACACGGAGCCAGCCAGGGCCTGGCCACTGACTGCATCCAGGGCTATGCTGTGGGATCTGAGCTTCTCGGTTCATCTCCTCCTCAGCACTTTTGTAGATGAGCCTCCTTAAATACTGCAAGCACACATTCAGAGCAGAAGCAGACCCAGGGCAAGGGGTTTGCTGGACACCCAAGAACTTCATGCACCTCCTACCAGGACTCCTGGTCAAGGGGGCAGCTCTAGACCAGCAGAGGGCTGGGCTTTCCACTGTCTGGTTCCCAAAGAGGGTGCAGGACGCCCAGACCGGTTCTGCACTGAAGGACTTGTGATCCAAGACATCACAGCTCCAAGACACATCACACCCTCCCCGCAGGCAGCTGGACTGCAAGGAGAACATGGGTGGGAAATGAATCCAAAATCTGAATAAATCCATCAATGCCCAGTCTTACCTAGCAGCCATCTTATTGTACACCAGTTCCCACGTCTGCTGAGGATGCCGGCCAGGATCATGGGGCTTTGTGCAGAGAGAAGTCCACAGGTCATACTTTCAGCTCAGCAAAAGGAGGGCCTGGGGGTGTGTGTGTGAGAGGAGGCGAGGGGAGAGATGGTCAGTGAGACTGGGCAGAGGCAAGTAATGTGGAGGCCCTGTATTCCCAGCGGAAACGGGGGCAGAAGTGCTGGTACCTCTGCTCTCCTCTGGAAGAGAGGAAGGGGAGTCTTCACCGTGGTTTGGGTGAGTGCAGGCAGCAGGGAAAAATTCACTGGGCAAGGAAAAGGGAGGATCCAGAGGACAGAGCAGACACTTGGCTGTCCCAGTTAGTCCCTGTCCATATGGGCCAGTCCCAAGTGCTACCTGTCCCATCCCCACCTGCTGAGGAACCCCGAGGACACACTGCTGCCCACAGGCAGCACTGAATACAAGCAAGACACCCCTCCAGCAGGAAGACAGGCACAGGCATGGCTTGAAGCCTTTTTATTGAAGGTGCCCAGTTAGGCAGACTTGCATATTTCAGTCCTTACAGCTCTTCCTGCCCTCCTGGCTTCCCTTTCACCAAGTGTTTCTTCTGAGGGCCCTGGAAGAGAGCAGAGAGGAGAGGTCTCAGTGTTAGTGGCAGACAAACCTGGCCTACGAGGCTGCACCTGAGCTGTGTGGAGCAGAACTGCAGCTCTGGCCCCTTTCTGCTGTGCAAGGCTGCTCCTGGTCTCTGCTCTCCAGCTGGGAGCTCTGTGCCACCATTCCCCAGCCACCTCCGGAGCCTCCCTAGCCCTGCAGGAATCAGGAGCGGAACATCATTGCACTTGCACAAAGGGTTTGTTTATCTGGCCAGCGCAAAAGCAGCCAGAGAGCGGCAATGAGTGCCCTGCTCCGAGCCAGGCAGGCTGGCCTGCAGTCAGGGGACGTGGAGCGGAGCGGTAACTGTGCTGATGAATGCCACCCGGAGCCCACCGTGGTAGAGTGGCTGCTGAGCTGCTGTATGAGCCCTGCAGGAGGAAAGGCCTCCCACAGCCAAAGGCACAGATTCTCACCAGCCAACTCAACAGAGCCGTAGGGGTTTCCACCAGCTAAGAAATGGGGTTGTCCCAGACCAAGCCCTATGGGAGCAGATGGCAAAAATTACTTATGTGCCTCTACTTCCATCCAAATGTAAAGTTTTACCACATTATATGTGAGGGAAACTCTCACCCCACAGTAGAAAATGGCAAAGAAAACACCTGCAACTGGGTAAAACCACCTGCTGTCACTAAGGTCCACGTCACAGCTACTCAGGACTTGCAGCGACAGCAAGAGCAGAACACGGAACAAGCTCCTAACACTGAGATAAAGGAAAACAGCTTAACCTCTAAAGAGCTCTGCAGAGGCGCTGCATAGCCAATCCCCCTTCCTGGGGCTAAGGAGGCTTAGCCAGTTTCACATGGGATTTCTAGCTGACAGGCCAGATCCAGACATGGTTTACGCCTGTGTGGTATCCAGGCAGTTGTTTCTTTCATTTCTGCTAGCTGAAGGTCTGGCTTACTTAATGTTTCCTCAATTTCATATTCAGAGTTACGCACCAGCCTGGTGTAGGTTGCAAAATGGTTCAAGAAACTCTGCTTGTTTTGGATTTATTTAAATTTTTTTTTTGCCCTGGGTTTAAGAAAAATATACTGCTTGGCCTTTTTGAAAGCTTCCTGACAAAAGAATTGCAAATTTGTGTCTGAATTTGACCCAACCTTTTCCTCTTAAGAACATTAAAGTTATAAATCATTCCAAACAAATCAAAGAAGTGCACAATTACGGGTGAAAGGGACCATATGTCCAAGGCAGTGCCTGCCAAGTTAACTGCTTGTTTAAAACATCCCGTGGTGAATGGAAACTGGTTGCCCATATGGTGAATTATTTGCTAGTTGGGTTGTCTTGGATCACTCACACAACCATCATGTTCTTCCTTAGCATAATATCTGCTGTGTGAATTGAATTCATGCCTGTTTTTTATGCAAGACGGTCCTGATCACTCATTTGGCTGTTGTTATATCGAGAAGCAGATGCTTGGTTGGGTTCAATCAGTTGCTTTAGCCCCAGCTGCGAGCATGGTCTGGGAGCTGGAGCCAGCACAGAGCATAACTCACCATGAAAGCCCGCTTCTCCTGAGCTGTCTGGAAGCAGCCATGGCCAAACTTGGAAGTGGTGTCAATAAATTTGAGTTCAATGGCTTCCTGAGCCCGGCGGCTTGTATGCACCAGAAGGGACTGGAAAAGAATCATAGAATCATAGAATCATAGAATCGTTAAGGTTGGAAAAGACCCTTAAGATCATTGAGTCCAACCGTAACCTAGCACTGCCAAGTCCACCACTAAACTATGTCCTTGAACACCACGTCTACCCTTCTTTTAAATACTTCCAGGGATGGAGACTCAACCACTTCCCTGGGCAGCCTGATCCAGTGCCTGACTACCCTTTTGGTGAAGAAGTTTTTCCTAATATCCAACCTAAGAGTCACAATGCATGAGGCTTATCGTTACAGAAAATCTGGACAACTGCTCTGATGGAAGCAGGGTTGAAATATCCTAGGTGCGTGTGCTGAACAAATATCTCCACGAAAATCTGCCTTCTCAGAGAAACCCGGTGCTCAGGAGGCAGGTGATGCCTTGGATTGCAGAGCAGCATTAAAATGAGCCTACTCTTCACTTAGCATTTCATTTGCTCACAATCTGTTTATGGCCAAGGTCTGCATTTCTGGGGCCCCCATCACAGCTCTCAAAGGCTTGCAGCTTCTGTCTCCAGAGAGAGTACATCTGCCTGCACACTGCCACAAACCATCTAGCTGTGAATGGTCTCACTGAGCACCACACTTATGTGCCACATGCCCTCTGCAACACAGCATCAGGGACCTGACCAGTCTCCCTGCCCAGCATTTGGAGGCAGTGGCATTCTCCATGTGGTGAATCTGTTCATGTAGAGCTACAGCCCATCCCTCTCCAGTGCCGGCTGCGCTCTCACCTTACGGAGGGTGAGCACACGCTTCTTCGTGCCCACGACGCAGCCTTTCAGCATGAGGAAGTCGTTGTTGACCTCCCCATAGTGAGGAAAGCCGCCCTGTGGGGAGAGGCAGAGAGAGGGTTGGCAGGCAGGAGAGCTGGATGGGAGCAGACGTGTCCACAGGTGGCATTTTCTAGGGAAGGAGAAGGTAGTGACTGACAGCCCTTCCAGCTAACAACACTCTGCATCCTTCAGGTTGCCTGCTCAGGACCACCAGAGCATGTCAGCCCCACTGACTGCATGATCCCAGCTAAGCAGCACCCCATAAGAGCTGGGGAACCAGCAACCCTGCTTCCTTCTCTGAAGGATGTGGGTGAACAGAGAGCAGAGCTAGCTAGACTCCCAAGTTAACAGTTTTTAATAAGCAAAAGTGCATTTTTAAACCAAGTAACAAACGTTTATCTGTCAAGTATCAGATTTTTAATGTCATTTATACTTCTTTTTCTTTTTAAACAAAGTTCTCAGTCCCTGCCCAAGTTATCAGCTAAAAGTTATATGTTTGGGTCTGCCAAAAAAACACCTCACAGAGATGGTTTTCCATGTCCAAAACATGAGGAAAGGCATCACTGCATTTCTTTCAGTGAACTTCATTCAAATCATTTCTCATGCAGCTGTCTCCAGCCAAGGAATTACTTCCCTGGCTAGGATTCCTGTAGCCAGGGCCAGTCACAGCCCTATTACCCCCTCAGCCCTTACCAGAGGCGTAATGGTCTTCTCTGTGACATCGTAGTGCGTCGAGGCATTGTTCTTCACCACTTTGCCATCCTCCACGTGAATCCCGTGGCCAATGCGATAAATCTAGGAACAGAAAGGAAACTGAGACGGCGACTTTCCCACCCCCTCAGTGAGGGTTGTCACAGGGACGATGCAGTTTTCACCAAGATGTGCCCCCTGTGATGTGTCCCTTGAGCAGGGAACAAGGGAACGGGGAACAATAGGGAAAGGCATGGAGAACAACAGCACTGCAGATCTCTAGGGAAACATCTGAGAAGCTGGGGGGAACAGAGGCCACATTGCAAAGGATGGTGACAGCATGGGAGGAAGGAAGCAGGAGGGCGCAGTGGTGCTCTGAGGGACCCCATCTGGGCCATACCTTCTTGTTGAGCTCCGTGCGGTGGTGGTAGCCCTTCTGGCCAGCCCGAGCAATGGAGTAGCCAACCCGGGCCGGGTGCCAGGCTCCGATGCAGGCAACTTTGCGCAAGCCCTTGTGTGTCTTTCTGGGGAGCTTCTTGGTGTGCCAACGGCTTGTCACCCCTGGAAGTGTGACCGGACAGGGTGGTGAGAACATCTGGGAGATTCAGGGCTGGTGTCTGAGTGCTGGGGAGGGGAGAGTCTCATCATTCTTCTGCAGTTCTCGGAAGACACCGTGTTGGAAGGAGACCAAGAGCTGTCACCACCATGAGAGGCCAGAGCACAGAACTGTTCTCACTTCCCATGGATTCGATCAGACTGTGATATGTTCCTGCCCACCATGAGAGGCCAGAGCACAGAGAACTCTTCTCTTCCCATGGATTCGATCAGACTGTGATATGTTCCTGCTGAGCACATCCACACACATGCACAGAAACACCCACACCTCCACACACGTGGGGTTTGTGAGAAGAGCAATGGCTTTACGTACTCACAATGCCTCTGAGCCTCCTGGGAGGACTCTGGGCACAGTAGAAAACATGGCCTTTACTGAGATTAAGGAAACCAAGCTCTGCTACAATGGAACTGCATGTCCTGGTTGAGGTTCAGAGGCTCTTTGCCACTCCCTGTG